TAATGTAATTCCTTTCAAAGTTCCCAAAGGTACATTCGCTGGTTTTTGGAACACTGCGCACAACAGAAACAGACCACACGCGGTTGCTATGGAAACTAATGCAGACGGGTCCCTCGTGCGTACTTTCCCCGGTTGAATTCAGATTATACAACAAAATGACGAAAAGTGGCTGTCATTTAAGAGGGGGAGTGGCTATATTTAAATAAAGGCGTGGTAAATAGTTTAAATTATGTTTAATTAATAACTACTGTGCGAATTCTGTTGATTGTATTAAAGAGCAGTAATAAAAAAAACAATGTTATTTACAAACCTGAAATATTATAATGAAACATACGCATCAAAATTAGAGAAGCAAAACAAAAGGTGTTGAAGTGTGACACCTCTACCTTGAATCCGTTTGTATGAATCTGAATACATGTTGATCTGATTACGAGCTGTGATATGCAGCTCATATAACGTTATCTCACCTGGAGATGCCAGATTATCAGATGATGAGCTGTGTCTGTTCCTCCGCGTCCTTTTGTCTCTTCCAGCCCGGGGTGAGAGATTTACGGCAGGTCCCGGTAACAGTAGCGCCTCTTCCCCCGAGCCGTCCGCTTCCAGCTCCGTCAGCACGCTTTCCGTCGAGTTCGAGATCCGGACCGCTGCCCCGGGGTTCAGCGAGAGTCCTAGTGAAGGTGACGGCGCCGGCCGGGTCTTTTCAAATAACACCGCGGGCACCTCCGACGCGAGAAAGTTCGACTCCGGTGTGAAATATCCGCCGCCTTTCTCCGGCTCGCCGTCGGTAGGATCGCATTCTGCCATCATCGCGGACCGTAGGTGTGTTCTGTCTCGGTGCAGAGAAACTCAGACACCTCTCAAAAACCGCGCTTCATATCCGTAAGTCCGTCTTTAAGATTGTTTTTCTTTCTTGAAAACGCGCTGATGCTCTCGGCCGTTTCACGTCCACATCATCCTAAACCATTACTGACTTCCTCTATTGTCAAGCATGCGCACTGCTTACCTCACTGTCGAACAGGTTTCTTAAAGGCGCAGTAACGCTTAATTGATTCAGCCAAGAATGGTGCGTGTGAAAGGTGACTGCATTTTTGTTGCTAGGTTTATCGTGCTCTAAGATTAGTCACAAATAATTCCAACCCGTTTTCAAAGTAAAAGGGTTAATTAACCAAAAAATGAAGATTGCCATCTTACAGTGACTTACAAAAGAAGGTATTTTTTTTAAAGAGTGTTGGTCACCAAACAGTTGTGGTTACCATTGGCTTCCATTTGTATGGCCCAAAAAAAAAAAAGTCCAAAGTTTTGGAATGACATGCAGGTGAGTAAATTTCACGATGAAACTGATGCTGGGTCATAGACGTACAGTTCATTCAATAGAGCTCTTCAGTCATTAAGTCATTTTTTTAGTTGTAGTTTGCCATGGGTTCCCAGTGGATTTGAGGTGCCATATTAATGACACTATTTTAGAAACATTCAATACTAAGATACCAAGACTCCTGGTCCCATTATCACCTCATCAACATATTTAAAAAAACACAAAAAAAAACGAGAGATTTAATGGTAAAAAAAAAGTTTTATTTTTACCACATCCCATGTCAAGTATAAAACAAAAATATACATTATGATATGTAGTTCATACATGTGTAAAATATCCATTAACCGTTACAAAGATGGAATTGACTTTGCAGTTTGGCAACATATTATCAATATTTTCCCTTCTCTTGGAATTTTTATTTTTTTTTAATTTGATTTATGTGGTAGAGGTAACAAGTTATTGGTAAACTGTAATAAACAAAGACACTATTTAATCAGAGAAACCATAAAGTACATTACATTTGGCACTCCAAGTTGTGCAAATCTCCTGAGTTTTTTTTTTTTTTTTTAGAAGGCAGGACACATTCTCTTTTTCCTCTCACAAACATGCATCCTTTTAACCGTAATACTTTCATCTTAAGATATAAAGAATAAAACCACATTATCAAAAAAACAGATAAAGACAGAGAAACCACTGAAAATAAAAGAAAAAAGTAAAACAACACTACAAGAGCATTCATGACATTAAAACTAAACATAAAACTGTGTAATAGTATTTTACCTTAAGAGCGAATGTTTCAGCACATTTTGTTGACCTTGATGGAAGACTTTTTTTTGACAGTCTGGGGGTTCTCTCCCCTTCCTCATTTGCTTTAACTTTCATAATTGCATGAATCATAACCTTAACTAAAAATACAGTAAATTAGTCCCGATAATTCTTCCATATCATAATTTCAGAAATTCTATAATCAATCATACTTCATCATTATGCTTCAAAACGTAATTCATTAAACCAAACCAGTTGATTGAAATTAAAATTGAGCAGAATCTGGCCTTGGCATCTTGGCATTCATTCTAGGGGCTTTGTTGAGTCCACAGAGGTATCTTGCACCGCCGCATGCTCTTCTTTTCTCTTCTTCCTTCTGCTCTGCTCAAATAATAGCCAAATTCTATTCCTGGATCATGTGTGAGTTTTAATCTCTGCACAGATGTTCAGAGATCTGCTGATTTTCTACAACTAAAAATATCCAAATAATCTCTTTCACAATGAAGAGCAGCTACTAAATCTGCAGGACAGTGATACAACTTCAAATCTTCCAGAAGATCTTCCTCCTGTAGAGCAGATAGGCTATGATCACCCATATGGAGGTGGCCACAAGGTTCTGTGCCAGGTGCTCTGCATGCGATTGGCTATTGGCCATTTTCCAACGAAAAGGGAAGTATTCCTCAAACACTTCATGACCCACATACACCAAAATGGAATTCATACCTGCCAAATAAAGGGTAAACTTGAAAGCAATTCATAAAACAATGCAAGTATGCAGAATAGCGATAATTAACATAAACTAAGGCTGCACGATAATGAGTAAACTGTTAATCATGATTATTTTGCTTAAAAAATAGAATCATAATTATTGTCATTTTAGTTTTTTTTTAACGTTTCATCATAATGATTGCATTTTCACATAAGCACAAATCAAGAGAACGTCACCTCGCTTGGTTTGCTCGTAGATTTAGCCGCAGTAATTAGCACAAGCGAATGCATGAAAGAAAACCGACTGACTGTATTACACTTTCACTTGAGAAAAACATTGCAGTGGAGATCTCTGAACTCCAATTTACACACTTACCGGTGTTTTCAAATCATCAACCCTTTTTCCCTAATGTAGAGAGAGTGGTTGCCAGGCTGGGAAGAGTAAACCTTTGGACAGAAAATCTGGCAACCGCAACCAAGCTTGTGGAGGCTTGTTACCAATGCAAGATAACGCAAATGCCAAATGAAATGTTTTCAGGATAAATAACCAGCAGGCAAATATCGCAGATGATTATGCTTAATAAAACGCGAGAAGCCGAAATCGTGACCATAATACGATTTTTATCGTGCAGCCCTAACGTACACTGTCTTCTTCTTTTTTAAACTTTGATTAAACTGTCAACATGATTATAGCTAGCTACCTAAATAACATCCAATTCAGTTTAACGGCACAGTCATTTAAAGTCATTTATGCCACAATAATACAAACATGGGTATAGAGTTCTAAGTTGTAAGTTGCCAACTTCTCCAACTTCTAATAAAATGAAAGCAAAATACACAAATAACATTTAGACTGTTTCTCTGATTAGTAATTGATGTAATTGATGCCATAAAATCATGAGTATATTTTGATTTAAAAGGTCAGAAGCTATAGCTTAGCTTACATGAACAAAAAAAATCACAAACATGACACTTTTTATATATACTGATTTATTCATCAATGTGTAATATGTTATATTTTTTAAACAAATGAGCTCTAAAAGATTTTCTGAATTTTTACAACTCTTTTGCTTTAAACCATTTACAAATGTTAAATCATAAAATAAAATGTTAAGGTTACCACTGCATCTTTCTGAAAAAAAAAATGCAGTGATTAATATATAGTTTATTTATAGTTATTTTCAAAGCTTCAATGTACTGTCAAAAAAAACTTTATTATTGTTTATTTAATTCTAACAAATAATTTCTTGTTAAAAACTAACCAAAATGAAAAATAATTATATATCGGCATCGGCTATCGGCCAAAATGAGTTGAAAATTATCGGCATATCGGATATCGGCAAAAATCCAATATCGTGCATCCGTAGTATTTTATGCATTATGTATTTGTCTATGTATTTTCTAAATGCATGTTATAGATCACTCCATGCATTTTTTTAAAGCTGAACTTTTAATTAAAATGTCATAAATGGATCTTCCAGTGAAAACGGCTCTCTGGTGACACGTGCAAGACGTCTCCAACCATTTAGTCAGTTTAAACATTTTTTTAATTTATTTTTTTCCTTTTTACACTCGTATGCACATCACAATTCAGAAGAAAAGATCGGTCACTTGCTACTTCCATTTCATCTCGCTTTCAGGCATTTTAAAGTGTAATGTGACCTTCTTTGGGATCTTACCAATCATATTGCTTTCTTGCGTAACGAAAGACAAGGAGGCTGAAATTATATTTAATAATTATATGTACTATTTGCATGCTTTGTGGAGATAATTATGCCGATAAAACAAAGCAAACATAGCATATCACAGTGATGCAACGCTAATATCTTCATTTAAACTAGGCAATGCAACTCCTGTGAGACTCTAGTGGGAGTTTTTCCCCCTTCACTGAAGGATTAGATGTGGATATTAGAGATAAAACAGAAGCCAGTTTCTTTCTGCTCTCTGGCTCGTCTGCATTCAAATTAACCTGTTATTAATATGCAAGAAAACTTTATTGCATCAATACACCCCACAGCTGCTCCAGTAATCATGTTAGTTCAGATGCACCTGAAAAGACAAACACATGCAGCACACACAGAAACAGCCAAGCTCGAATATCACGAGTTGTGTAGATATGGCAGCAGCAGCTAGGGTGTCACCTGTACATGTGTGCCCCGGGGTTCAAAGAGCATGTAAACTGAACTGTGGAAATGGTTGCGTAACGGACCATATTCTGAGATAAAACAGATGGAATGACAGCACAGAGAACAGAGAATGTGTGTGGGAGCAAATTTAGAATATTTAGTTTTAATATTCTTTTGCATGAAAACTTGTTCCGTGTGTGTAAAATAGAAGGCAAAAAAAACTCTCCACTCTCTGAAAAATGTTTTTAATGTAATTCCTTTCAAAGTTCCCAAAGGTACATTCGCTGGTTTTTGGAACACTGCGCACAACAGAAACAGACCACACGCGGTTGCTATGGAAACTAATGCAGACGGGTCCCTCGTGCGTACTTTCCCCGGTTGAATTCAGATTATACAACAAAATGACGAAAAGTGGCTGTCATTTAAGAGGGGGAGTGGCTATATTTAAATAAAGGCGTGGTAAATAGTTTAAATTATGTTTAATTAATAACTACTGTGCGAATTCTGTTGATTGTATTAAAGAGCAGTAATAAAAAAAACAATGTTATTTACAAACCTGAAATATTATAATGAAACATACGCATCAAAATTAGAGAAGCAAAACAAAAGGTGTTGAAGTGTGACACCTCTACCTTGAATCCGTTTGTATGAATCTGAATACATGTTGATCTGATTACGAGCTGTGATATGCAGCTCATATAACGTTATCTCACCTGGAGATGCCAGATTATCAGATGATGAGCTGTGTCTGTTCCTCCGCGTCCTTTTGTCTCTTCCAGCCCGGGGTGAGAGATTTACGGCAGGTCCCGGTAACAGTAGCGCCTCTTCCCCCGAGCCGTCCGCTTCCAGCTCCGTCAGCACGCTTTCCGTCGAGTTCGAGATCCGGACCGCTGCCCCGGGGTTCAGCGAGAGTCCTAGTGAAGGTGACGGCGCCGGCCGGGTCTTTTCAAATAACACCGCGGGCACCTCCGACGCGAGAAAGTTCGACTCCGGTGTGAAATATCCGCCGCCTTTCTCCGGCTCGCCGTCGGTAGGATCGCATTCTGCCATCATCGCGGACCGTAGGTGTGTTCTGTCTCGGTGCAGAGAAACTCAGACACCTCTCAAAAACCGCGCTTCATATCCGTAAGTCCGTCTTTAAGATTGTTTTTCTTTCTTGAAAACGCGCTGATGCTCTCGGCCGTTTCACGTCCACATCATCCTAAACCATTACTGACTTCCTCTATTGTCAAGCATGCGCACTGCTTACCTCACTGTCGAACAGGTTTCTTAAAGGCGCAGTAACGCTTAATTGATTCAGCCAAGAATGGTGCGTGTGAAAGGTGACTGCATTTTTGTTGCTAGGTTTATCGTGCTCTAAGATTAGTCACAAATAATTCCAACCAGCAAAGTAAAATAGGTGTGTTCTGTCTCGGTGCAGAGAAACTCAGACACCTCTCAAAAACCGCGCTTCATATCCGTAAGTCCGTCTTTAAGATTGTTTTTCTTTCTTGAAAACGCGCTGATGCTCTCGGCCGTTTCACGTCCACATCATCCTAAACCATTACTGACTTCCTCTATTGTCAAGCATGCGCACTGCTTACCTCTTCTTCTTCTTCTTCTTCTTCTACTGTTTATTGGCGGTTGGCAGACTAGCTTATTCACTGCTTACCTCACTGTCGAACAGGTTTCTTAAAGGCGCAGTAACGCTTAATTGATTCAGTCAAGAATGGTGCGTGTGAAAGGTGACTGCATTTTTGTTGCTAGGTTTATCGTGCTCTAAGATTAGTCACAAATAATTCCAACCCGTTTTCAAAGTAAAAGGGTTAATTAACCAAAAAATGAAGATTGCCATCTTACAGTGACTTACAAAAGAAGGTATTTTTTTTAAAGAGTGTTGGTCACCAAACAGTTGTGGTTACCATTGGCTTCCATTTGTATGGCCCAAAAAAAAAAAAGTCCAAAGTTTTGGAATGACATGCAGGTGAGTAAATTTCACGATGAAACTGATGCTGGGTCATAGACGTACAGTTCATTCAATAGAGCTCTTCAGTCATTAAGTCATTTTTTTAGTTGTAGTTTGCCATGGGTTCCCAGTGGATTTGAGGTGCCATATTAATGACACTATTTTAGAAACATTCAATACTAAGATACCAAGACTCCTGGTCCCATTATCACCTCATCAACATATTTAAAAAAACACAAAAAAAAACGAGAGATTTAATGGTAAAAAAAAAGTTTTATTTTTACCACATCCCATGTCAAGTATAAAACAAAAATATACATTATGATATGTAGTTCATACATGTGTAAAATATCCATTAACCGTTACAAAGATGGAATTGACTTTGCAGTTTGGCAACATATTATCAATATTTTCCCTTCTCTTGGAATTTTTATTTTTTTTTAATTTGATTTATGTGGTAGAGGTAACAAGTTATTGGTAAACTGTAATAAACAAAGACACTATTTAATCAGAGAAACCATAAAGTACATTACATTTGGCACTCCAAGTTGTGCAAATCTCCTGAGTTTTTTTTTTTTTTTTAGAAGGCAGGACACATAAAAAAAACACAAAAAAAACCGAGAGATTTAATGGTAAAAAAAAAGTTTTATTTTTACCACATCCCATGTCAAGTATAAAACAAAAATATACATTATGATATGTAGTTCATACATGTGTAAAATATCCATTAACCGTTACAAAGATGGAATTGACTTTGCAGTTTGGCAACATATTATCAATATTTTCCCTTCTCTTGGAATTTTTATTTTTTTTTAATTTGATTTATGTGGTAGAGGTAACAAGTTATTGGTAAACTGTAATAAACAAAGACACTATTTAATCAGAGAAACCATAAAGTACATTACATTTGGCACTCCAAGTTGTGCAAATCTCCTGAGTTTTTTTTTTTTTTTTTAGAAGGCAGGACACATTCTCTTTTTCCTCTCACAAACATGCATCCTTTTAACCGTAATACTTTCATCTTAAGATATAAAGAATAAAACCACATTATCAAAAAAACAGATAAAGACAGAGAAACCACTGAAAATAAAAGAAAAAAGTAAAACAACACTACAAGAGCGTTCATGACATTAAAACTAAACATAAAACTGTGTAATAGTATTTTACCTTAAGAGCGAATGTTTCAGCACATTTTGTTGACCTTGATGGAAGACTTTTTTTTGACAGTCTGGGGGTTCTCTCCCCTTCCTCATTTGCTTTAACTTTCATAATTGCATGAATCATAACCTTAACTAAAAATACAGTAAATTAGTCCCGATAATTCTTCCATATCATAATTTCAGAAATTCTATAATCAATCATACTTCATCATTATGCTTCAAAACGTAATTCATTAAACCAAACCAGTTGATTGAAATTAAAATTGAGCAGAATCTGGCCTTGGCATCTTGGCATTCATTCTAGGGGCTTTGTTGAGTCCACAGAGGTATCTTGCACCGCCGCATGCTCTTCTTTTCTCTTCTTCCTTCTGCTCTGCTCAAATAATAGCCAAATTCTATTCCTGGATCATGTGTGAGTTTTAATCTCTGCACAGATGTTCAGAGATCTGCTGATTTTCTACAACTAAAAATATCCAAATAATCTCTTTCACAATGAAGAGCAGCTACTAAATCTGCAGGACAGTGATACAACTTCAAATCTTCCAGAAGATCTTCCTCCTGTAGAGCAGATAGGCTATGATCACCCATATGGAGGTGGCCACAAGGTTCTGTGCCAGGTGCTCTGCATGCGATTGGCTATTGGCCATTTTCCAACGAAAAGGGAAGTATTCCTCAAACACTTCATGACCCACATACACCAAAATGGAATTCATACCTGCCAAATAAAGGGTAAACTTGAAAGCAATTCATAAAACAATGCAAGTATGCAGAATAGCGATAATTAACATAAACTAAGGCTGCACGATAATGAGTAAACTGTTAATCATGATTATTTTGCTTAAAAAATAGAATCATAATTATTGTCATTTTAGTTTTTTTTTAACGTTTCATCATAATGATTGCATTTTCACATAAGCACAAATCAAGAGAACGTCACCTCGCTTGGTTTGCTCGTAGATTTAGCCGCAGTAATTAGCACAAGCGAATGCATGAAAGAAAACCGACTGACTGTATTACACTTTCACTTGAGAAAAACATTGCAGTGGAGATCTCTGAACTCCAATTTACACACTTACCGGTGTTTTCAAATCATCAACCCTTTTTCCCTAATGTAGAGAGAGTGGTTGCCAGGCTGGGAAGAGTAAACCTTTGGACAGAAAATCTGGCAACCGCAACCAAGCTTGTGGAGGCTTGTTACCAATGCAAGATAACGCAAATGCCAAATGAAATGTTTTCAGGATAAATAACCAGCAGGCAAATATCGCAGATGATTATGCTTAATAAAACGCGAGAAGCCGAAATCGTGACCATAATACGATTTTTATCGTGCAGCCCTAACGTACACTGTCTTCTTCTTTTTTAAACTTTGATTAAACTGTCAACATGATTATAGCTAGCTACCTAAATAACATCCAATTCAGTTTAACGGCACAGTCATTTAAAGTCATTTATGCCACAATAATACAAACATGGGTATAGAGTTCTAAGTTGTAAGTTTCAACTCTTAAATGCCAGAGCCAGATAAACTAATTTTGGGTGCATTCATGAGTTTAGGTTCATTGATTCTGGCTGTGGGACCTCAGGGGCCCGTTCTTCGTACGTCGCTTATTACATCCGAGATGAAATGTCACATCCAAGATGATATCATCGCGCTTATCAGGATCTGGCTAATTTGGTTCTTCGTATGCACCTGTTGTTGATGATTAGTATGGCTGGATTGAGTTATCTGAGATAATTGCGCGTTCATGGGTTGGTTTAAAAGGGGCTATGTATCGATACTCGAAACCACGATCAGCAATGCAGCGATTGGCTGGCGGCAAGACAGCAACGTAATGACATCATATAATTAAAAAAGACACGACGAAAAACTTGACATTTTTGGAAACAGCCAAGCGAACAAAACTACATGAATGTTATAATAGATAAATGAAACGTGCACTGTTTTTATTTTATTTTATTGCCATCAAGCCACTCCCATTATATATGTCACCACTCAAATTAATGCATGACTCTACATTATCTGTATAGCATGTGTGTAAGACTCGAATACAATTATGAAGTAATAATTTTATGACGAATAAATCTTTCAGTGAGTAAAACTGGCTGTGTCTATAGTATTAAAGACTACACAACATTGTTATATTATCTTGAAATTAATTTTTAAATGATAATTATTTTAAATTATTGTCCCTGGAGGGTACTCTTGTAAAGTAGCGGTGGTAGCGGACCGATTTTAAGTATCAATTCTGCTTAAAAAGATGCAATCTAATCCTGTTTACATGAAATAAAGGTTTAAGCTTACGGACCTGTTGCTATGACAGCAACTCCGGGATGAGCTTCGAAAAACCAAACAATCCAAGATCATGCCAAATCATCAACAATCAAATCCAGCTAACTGAGTTAGCGACGTACGAAGAACGGGCCCCAGGTATAAAGTGCTTACCAGGGTAAAAGAAGGGAGCTCCAGACCACCACTTCTTTACATCCACCGAGTAGTAAAAAAACACCAGAGACACAAAAGCAAAACAGCTCAGAGTCGTCACATAGGACAAAGACCTGAAAGTCACACAAGACTGAAGTCGTGAATCATACAGCATACAATACATTCCTCTTCTAATCAGTAAGCAAATCTGCTATTATACTTCCTGATTCTGAAAGTGCTGTGCATGTTTTCATGTTTGAAGATTTGTGACCACAAATGATGACAATACCAAATATCTTAAAACCATTCAAATGAACTACAGAAATATGCAAGGGAGACTTTTAGAGTTTACCACAAGTTTTTGTTGACAGGGATGAAGCCTTCATTTCTGGAGCACTTGGTCAATACAGCAGAGATGATTCCCTTAATGCAAAGATAGACAGCATGAGGTTTCCACAATTTTAAACCTCAAACAAAACTTTACAGAAATATTGATTCACTATGTGAATTTCAAATTCTATTTGAATATTCTGATGTGGGTTAAAATAAATAAAAGCCATTTTTTTGTTTAAAAAAAAAAAAAAAAAACTCAAATGCATCCCTAATAACTTTAACTAACATTATTACACGACTCTGAAGTACATGATTGATATTGGTCAATCGTGGCATTCTGTGGTGAAATATTTTTGTATATCAACTGCTAAACTGTATAACTGATTGTTGTGCCAATTGTACTGTGTCAATTTTAGGTCCCTCTCTGGTCTTTTTCTTAACTTTTACTTTTACTTTTAGTCATTTAGCAGACGCTTTTATCCAAAGCGACTTACAAATAAGAAAAAGTAATTAAAACTAAAAGCTAAAACTCTATAAATACTATATATATATACACACACATTTAAGAAAATAAAATAAATTAAATAAAAATGACAAATGCATACAACATTTCAAAACTAAACATTTAAATGAAAACAAAATAAATAAAGTATAATAATGATTCTAACATAACACTAAGCCAAACACCAAAAAACAACTACATATGTGTATGTACAGCCACACACATATACATTTTCTTTTCACATAATAAAATGATTTCTACTCAAATCAGAATTTAATGGTGATTTATTAACGTATTTGGTGAGTACCCGTGTAATAAGTTGCATAATTAACTCATTATAGCAATATATACTTCTTCACATTGGGGGCCTCATCACCATGTTGTGCTCTCTTTTGTATTAATGACTTGCTAAATATATTATCCTTTATTTCATTATAGACATATATTACAAATGTTACAGTAAAGACAGTAATATTGTAAAATATTACAATTTGAAATACCCGTTTTGCATTTTAATATATTTTATGATGACAAAACTGAATTTTCAGCAGTCGTTAATCCAGTTTTCAGTGTCACATGATCCTGATTTGGTGCTCAAGAAACATTCTTATTATTATCAAACAGTTGTGCTGCTTAATATTTTGTGGAAACCGTGATGCAATTTTAGGATTCTTTGATTAACTGATTCCGAGTTCAAATTAACAGCATTTATTTGAAATAAAAAAAAATGTGTAATATTATAAATGCTTTGCTGAATAAAGCATTTATTACTTATTTACTTACTTTAATCTTAACCCCAAACCTTATATTATTTTTTTTATATTATGTAGTGTATATTTGTAATTTGTTAATGAAAGTTATTATATAAAGTGTTAGCAAAAAGAAGCAATGAACAAATGGTAAGTAAACATACGAGTATGAATCCCCAAATGAGAAATCGTGTGATAATTTGCCTGTGTTGGTCTCTGTAATGCTGCAGAATTTTCCCTGCCTGAAACAAACAAAACAAACAAAACTGATTCAATAGGGCGACAACGGGGGTCACTGATGCTGCTATTAGAATAAAGTAAAGAGAGAGAAATAAGAAAAAAAAAACTGAACTTACCTGAAGCCCCAAAAATGCCATCAATATGGAGTTGATGGTTCCCAAAACACCCTCAGGGTCAAAGGGCATCATAGTCTGGTATACAGCCTAGATTTATGCACACAAACACACAATGAGTGCACCAGTGAGTACTAAAGTAAGAGAGAGAAATCAGCTGTGGCTCTAACAAATGGTGACTACATTAGTCTGGCAGAATGACAACCAGTTCTCATTATTTTGGTCTCTGTTTACCCGTGATGAAGGCGTCTGGTAAATATGGTTATCTCTCAGCAGCCAACGATCAATGTAACCTGCAGCTCCACCGGTGCAGTTTTGGTACTGGCCAAAGTCACCAATGCCCCCTGGACCCAAATAACCACTGCAGGAGAGAGACAACAAGATGAAAAATATAGCAATTTCCACACAAAATGCGTGTCATGAATAGCAAATAGATTCAAAACATTTTCATTTGCATATTCATTTTAATCTACACAACCCATATCTATCCAGTATAACCAATTACAACTAACTAATAATATTACGTTGAACAATGTAAACCAGAATGTATGAAAGAAATTTCATTTGTCCTCTATTATTTACCAGGAAAACCAACTTTTTAAAAATTCTAACATCTGTTTTGCATTTCTAATTAGCAGTCATGTCTATTCTTCTAATATTTATAGTATCTTACTGATGTTTATGCAAATTTCCAGTAATTTTAACAAGGCAGAAAAAGGGTAGATTCTGCAGAGGGTTCCCTTCTTGATTGCAAATAAGGCAGGGGATATGGGGACGGACATTTAGACAGCTCTTAAAGGGTTAGTTCACCCAAAAATGAAAATTGGCTTCTGTTTTACTCACCCTCGAAGCATCCTAGGTGTATATGACTTTATTCTTTCAGACTAATCCAGTCGGGAGTTATATTAGAAATTGTCCTGGCTATTCCAAGCTCTATCATTGCAGTCAGCGGGTGTTGCAGTTGAACAGTCCACAAGTCGTCAAATAAAGAGCGCACATTCATAATAAAACGTGCCTCACACGGCTCCGGGGGGTGAATAAAGGCCTTTGCGTGATTAGTGACGAATGCGGAGAGACAACAAAACAAAACATACGAATTAGAAGATGTGCAAAGAAAAATGTCGGAGGATTTCGATATAAGCCAAAAGGAGACTGGTCTTCCTTTGCTAAAGTAAGGAAACTTTGCTTCCTTTGCTCCTATAAACAAACTCGCGAGACTAGCGTATCTCAGAGGCGTGTGCGCTGCGCATACGTCATACGCCTTCTGCCGGAACGCCTTCCGCGTATGAAAGATAACGGAAGTGAGAGAAAAGTGTTTATTACATTTGAAATATGGATATTTTTCTTACAAAAACGCATGGA